AAAAATTTTTGGCACGACCCCCGCATGGAGAGCGGGTCCAGTCGTACCCCGTGCATTTGCTTACCAGGGATCTGCCAGCCCTTTCCAATGTGCGATCGCACTTGCCGTCACTTACTCGAAAATGATGCACCAGGGTGCATCTGTCATTAATCCTTCTCTTTGTGCTGATCTCCTTGGTACAAAAGAATGACCAGCAGGCCGCGGGGGCGTGTAGTACGTGACGACAATTGTAGATTGATGTTTACCACTTTTCAGCCTCAAATAGATCATCATTGAGAAGGCTCCTTTTCCAAATTCTCGTCCTGTTCCTCGGGAACAGCAAGATGATCTTCAACTTCGTCGGCAACGACCTCGTGGTAGGCTGCTTCCCCCTCTGCTGGAGCAGAAGACGAAGAGTTCGGTATTGTTTTCATCATTGCAGCTGCGTCTGTTTTTTCCTCGCTATCATGCTTTTCCTGGTCCGCACCTTCGCCCAGAGCCACGACCACGCGTTCCGCAGAAGGATTGTTGGTGCCGAGGACCTCTTCCTGTTGTGCATCTTCTTCATGACCCCCTTCGTCCTGTTCCAAAGGAACCACCTGCACCTGCTGTGTGGCTGTGGTTCTTACCAGCGGATCTTTTTCATCTTCACAAACATCAAGATGATCACCTGCTTCTCCGAATAGTACACTGGTGGTGCACGCCATGCTATCGCTTTGTTCCGTGTTTTCTTCATGGCCGCTGGTGTTCCGATCATGTAGCTCACCAGCAACTTCTATTCTTCCACCTTCCAGACCTATGTGATGAAAATCCGGATCTGCGCCGCCTACCGTAAGAAACTTCTGGTCGTTTTGGTCAGAGTCAACAGCGGCGTCTACTTCCTCTCGTTCAGGAGGACGATTTTGGAAATCATCACCATATGATCCTTGCGGCGCTTCCGCATCCTCCAGTCTCTCTTCTGGTTCGTCCTCGTCGCACGAAGTCGTGGGCGCAAAGCCAAAGGTGTCCTGCTGTCGAAAGTTTGGACTGCGTGACCAGCTGGGTACCACGTCCTCCGGGTTGAACAGTGGACTATCGCCAGCGTTCTCCGCACCGTCGTCGTCGCACAGCGCTGCGTGATGAGGGTTATCGAATTCGTCAAGCTCTTCCTCTTCGTCCGAATCAAGTTCGGCAACGCCAACCGGCTTCTTAATTTTTCCCGCGGCCACATGAGTAGTTGATGCAACGCTGCAGCTGTTCATGACCGCCGGATGTTCATCAAAGGCAGCTTGGGTCCCAGCAGTACAACTGGGCTCGTCGCCCACTACAGTTGCCTCCAGACCTGCGCCTGGCGTTTGCAAAAGTGCCGCTCCTGGCGAAGCAGTGAGCAGGGGCGCCGATGTTGAAAATGAAGGAGCGCATACGGACGCCAGAGGCGACGCGTTCTCGGTTCCGGCGCTGCGAGCCGCAAGCGTAGCACGCTGCTTCGGTAGTTCTTCATCTACGTTGTTCGTGTACAGCTCTGCTTGACCAGTAAGCCCAACATCGTCAATCGTTTCAGCGTCGATCTTTTGTTCTTTTTTAATTTCGTCGTCCTGAAGTTGAAGGTCATGATTAGCTTTAGGGGCCGGCGTGGAAGCAGGAGCTGCAGCCCTTGCCTGCTTCATCAGCGCGTCGTCCTGAACGGGATTGTTTTCTGCCTTGCAGTCTGCCACATGGCGGACGCCTGCTTCGTCGCTGACGCTTGTAGCAACAATGAGGCTGTTTTTGTTATCGGCACTAGCGACCAGGCCCAGTGTTCTTGTTGAGGGCTGCAGAAACTCGTCCGTCGATGGAGGTGTCGAGCTCGAACCTGCTTGTTCCTCTGCTGCGGAGGTGCAGGTTGGCGTCACGGGACTGCGCACCGGCGCGGACTCGCGACCGCCTGGTGGACGGGAGGTGGCTGTTCTTGTCTCTGTCGTTTCGGTCTCGCCTGCTCCTGCGCGTCGCGACTCGTGCTGTGCTTGCTGCTGCTGAATCAGCTTCGCAAGTAGTTCGTTTCTCCGCTCCTCCGCCGGCGTTGGACTGGTACGCGTTCGGCCGAGCAGCTCTGGGGCCGCGGCTGCACTTTTTCCCACAAGTTCCGCTTCGCCACCACATCCACCTGGTTTCGAGGTCGATGTTGTTGTACTAGAAGCATAAGGGTAAGTAGAACAACCTCCCTGCGGCCCGCCACCCGTGGTTGCTGCTCTTTGCAACAAAAGAAGAGACTTCTGCTGTTGCTGCGGGGACTCTACTAATCTGCCTCGTTGCAACGTCGAGGGCTGCTGCGGCTGCTCCTGGTGTGGCTGTGGGCGTTGGTGTTGGATAAGGCGCGGCATGATTCTCGTGGGTGGCGCGCAGCATTCCTCGTAACTGTTGGCGGCGAAAAGGGTGAGCAGCGGATCCTGATCGATGATCGTTTCCGAGAGCACGGCGTAAGCACGCTGAAACTCGTAACAGAGTCGCTCTTGCCCGAGGTAGGTCGGACATTTGATTTGTCCCTTCTCGAACGGATCCTCGATCAACAAGTTGACGTGGCGTTGCGCGAACCGCACGGTGTTGCCCCCGTCGGTCTGGATCAGCGGGCAGGACCACCGGGGAGGTTGGTAGCTACTTTTTTTGTTATGCTGATCCCCGCCGTTGCGGGCCATCTGCTGCTGCTGATGCGCGAGCTCTGTTTCGCTTCGGAAGTAGTGGAGGTATTTCAGCTTGGGCAGCGGCTGGCCGAGACGGATGGAAACGACTTCGCGATGGAAGTTGTACTCGTGCGCATAGTAGTGAAAAAACTGTGTGAACAAACAATACAGCGGACTCGGGATGCAGCACGATGGATCAATGGGGATACTACTAGCAGCCGTCGTGCCCTCGTTCTGCAAGAATTCCTCTTTTGATGTTGAAAAACTACAAGTCGCCGTGGCGGGTGGGAACAAGTTCCGGTTGGTGCGCGCGTTCCCGGCACAAGCGTTGGGCAGAAAGATGCTGTCCAGATGTCTCTGTGCTAAACTCGCATCGTACTCCCAATTCTTGTCGAAGGTAATGTCGTGACACCCGTAGAGGAAGTTCTCCCTGGGTCGCACGCTGTTCTTCACGGACTTTTGCAGGTTCGGCAGAATCTTTTTCTTGTGCTGCAGAAAGAAAATCACGAGCAGCATGTAGGCGTAGGAGGAAAGCAGGCCATTCTGCGCGTCGATCAACTCCCGGCGCTTCGCCCAGGCCTTGACCAGCATCCCCAGATCCTGGCAGAGCGGGCAATTGGCGTAGGCCCGCAGGAGTTTGGAATTCTGGTACCCCAACACGTTGTTAAAGCTGATGTCGATGTTAAACTTGAGGTCGTCAAACAGGTAGTCTTTCACCTTGACCAGCGGGATCCGGGCATGAATCACGGTCACGTTCGCAAACCCCTCGCTCGGCAGGATCTGCTTGCAACAGCGCGCCAGCAGAATGCACTTTTCCCGCAGCAAGGAAGGGTCCAACGACGCATGCGACAGTGCGGGGTGCAGGAGTGTGACGTCAATGTCGCTGTCCCCTGTCATAAAGCCGTTTACGGAGGAGCCATAGAGCTCGACAGTAGGCTATCCACAGCAAATTTCCAGTACACGTACTTACAAATGCAGTCTCTGCATGACAAAACTTGCCTTCAGTCCTAGTCTAGCATGACAAGTTGGACACTGCAAGTTAGCGAAATTTGTCATGCATTTTGTACATGTACGGGACATTTACATTGCATATAGGCAGAATGGGAACCATTTCAGGCTCCTTCGATGTTGATGACGCACCATCATGGAGGTCGTCGCCAGAAGATCCTAACTTCGACGTCGCTGCTCGTTTATTTTTCGAAAAGAGCAGGCTCGGCTCCAACCCGTCGCGGAATTCGTGCGAGTAAAAGCATTTGCGAAATTCGTCGGACTTTAGCACTTTTTCGCGCAGCGTGCGTAGCACGTGCTCCTGCACCTGCTTGGCCCTGGGCTTCGGGCGCAGACGCTGTAGAATGGAGAGACAGGGGCAGGGATTCATCGATTGTCGCACCTCCTCTTCGTCGACATTGTCATTGTCAACATCAACTTCCAATGCGGTATTTGACTTTGCTTGTTGTGTACTACTTGTTTTCCTCATTTTTTCTCTTCTGGACGAGGACTTGTTCTCGAGCGCAACTGTTCCTGCAGTGAGGTCGATCAAGACTTTTCCGTCTGCGTCGTGCTCTGCACGACCCCGGTCACGTGGCTGCGGCTCGGCTTCGCTTTCCTCGTCGCCCGTTTCGTCGTGTTCTTCGGTGTGTTCGGAGAGCTGCTGACTTGCAACCAGGCTGTAACTGCGATCATCCTCATCTGTCGCAGCTGCTCTGTGCTCGTCCTCGTGCTCCTTCTTTACTGGAGTGTGTCCTGCGCCAGACTCGCCATCGTCCTCCACGCGCATGTCGTCGCGTCTACTACCCTTCGCAGCGTTGCGCTGCAGGCGCCGCTGCCTTCTTGCTCGGGCGCGCCGCATATCAAACGCAAATACCTATATGTCTGGCGGGTCTGCAAGCCTGTGATCATCCTAGTGTCTGGAAGAAATTGTATCAGCAGCTTTCTTTTCGTTTTCGCAGCGACACATGACAAGGTCTGGAGCTGCCAAGTTATTCTGTTTTTCTTTTTCATGATGAACCGCATGGCAAGACAAATAGCACTATAATTGCATGTACTTACAAAGAGAGGCAGAGGGGGCGACATCTTCGCAGTACAATAGGCATGACTTCTGATTTTTCTCTCCTGTCAGCCAGGCATTACAAAGGCTGCATTCTTCCAGGCCGCCAAGACATATTTAAGATTTACGATGCATACCGCAAGACCGTTTCCCAGTAGTATTCCGAATATTGTACCGACAAGAGGGGGTCGCGGAAGCAATTGAGCATGCTATGGCACCTGCGCACGGCGAAATGCGGCAAGATGTTCAGTTTCAGCAGTCGCTGGGTTAAATTCGAAATCAGTAGGGGGTCGGGCTCCATCGTGAATATCAGACCTTCCAGGATCCGCAAAATCGACAAGTTTAGACCATCTGTGTGTATCCTCTTTGCCATGACCTCAACGCGCTTTGACGGCTTCAACAGATCCGTAGAAATGCGAATTTTCCTCTTTTCTTGAAAAGTAGTAGGAGCGGCAGCAAGACTGTCGGTCGCCTGTTCAGCATTCTTGCTGCCTATGGTTGTGGAGGATCCGTCCTCCTCGTCCTCCTGCCGCGGCAACGCCGGGAGATCCAAGGTCGAACTTGTTGTGCGTCTTGCCGCGTCTTCTTCTACGTCACCGTTATTGGAGCCACCTGCTGGTGCTGTTATGGCGTCAATACTAGTATCTACGCCGCGTCCCACCTGACACTGCTTTGTGTCTACTCCAGTCGTGTTGACTGTTTCATCTGAGTCGCCGACACTCGCGTCTGTTATAACTTGCTCAGATGATGTCGTGGTCACATTTTGCTTTTCGTTGTTTCCATTTTTATCTTCGTCTTCCTGCTGCTGATCGCTCTTTACAAGAGCGTGTCCATCTTTCGCAACTGCAGCTGCCGGCTCGTCGCTTTCGAGGCGGTTGTGGTTGACAGTAAGAGGTGGTGCGTGATTCGCGGTCGGGTGGCTTGATGCATTTGTTGCCTTCGCGGGTTCTTCTTCTTGCCCGACCGCAGCAGGAAGAACATCATCACGACCAGGGCGAGGAGCCACTTGTGCTGGTGCTGGCTCCGTACTTTCTTCGTTCTTTCCGTCATGCAACGGCACGACCGGCGCTATGGTCTGCAATATCTCTGCTTTTGAAAGACTCCAAATCTGGTGGCAGCGAAAAAGGCGCAATTCCATGTAGCGCGCGCGCTCTTCGTCCATGCCTTTCCGGACTTCCTGGCAGATGACGGACAAGCAGGCAATGAGCAGCTGGCCGAACCGCGGCACCCGTTGGTAGATGGCCTGCAGCTCCTCGATGTGCGTGGCCAGCTCCTGCAGCGCGGCGCAGGCGCCAAAGAAATCCAGGCCCTGTGCCGTGAGGGTGAGCCGGATCAGAATCTGGCTCAAGGAAGAGTCTTCGCGAGCCTGGTGCTGCGCCTGCGTGTTGTCCAGAGTGTTCGTGGCCGTGGTAGACAACATGCAAACCAGGCCGGCAAGCTTCAGTCCAAGCTGCTCGCTCTGCACTGGATCGAGCTCAGGTGCCTGCGCTGCGGCAGAGCCGGGAGCGAGTGCAACTACAGCTCCGGTATCAGCTGCACGGGCATCTGCAGCGGAGGGACCACCTGCGTGCAGATCCGGAGCGAGGGTCGCGGGGGTAGTTCGTGCGGCAAGCGGAGGTGCTGCTTGCTGTTGATGCAGCTGGTTTATCATCTGCTGTTCTGCATCTGGTTTATCACCTGCTGCAGCGATTCGTGCTGGTAGTGGTCCTGCATCAAAAACTCTTGTCGCGGACACCTCTCTTGCTGATGTAAGGAGAGCGTCAGCTTGTGATGCGCCAGAGCTGCTCGGACTTTGTCCTGCGTTATTAACGTCCTGCCTTTGCGTGACTGAGTTCGTAGGAACTTCTTGTTCTACGAGGTGTTTAGCTTCCACCTCCTCTGAAGGAGCATTCTTACCTCCACGACCTCTCGTAGTTGTACCATCAGATACAACTACGTCAGCTGATTCAGGGCAGCGCATCAGGGGAAGCCGATCAGGTGCGGAGTAGACTTCATGGTCAGAAGCAAGTACGACGCCATTTTTCGGCACTTCCGCATCTCCAAGTTCTTCGACCGGGCGGGGCACGCCCTCACCAGCGTTCGCCAGCCCGTGCGGGTCGTGGCGCTGCACGATCATGGTGTCGGGTGTGTTTTCAATCCGACTTCTCGACACCTCAGGCGAGCTGTGACTGGAGTTATTTCCGTTTGTTGATGATATCAGCATCTTTTTCTGAAGCAAGGTTTTCACTCCGCTCTCGATTGCATCCAATTCATCTTTCAGATGTTGCACAACCTGAGGGCGCGTGGGACTATGCGGTTGTGATGGAGAAGATGTGGAGACTCCTGCGGACCCCCCGCTCATCCCGCTTCCGGGACGTTGCAATACTTGGGGCCGGACTACATATCGCAAGAAAAAACTGTTTCACTGTGAACTTGTGATGCAGAAAATGGATCGCACAAGTGTGTGTCATGCTACACATGCAAGCTACACATGCAAGACAGTTGATTTCTAGCTGTGTTCTCCCTTGGGAACCCCGCATGACAGATTTTCGGTGTCAGGCGTAACAAACTTGTGACGCAGATTTTGCAAAATCACCACTCCACAGTAAAACAGTTTTTTCGTGGGATACTACAGTAGGCATGTGCAGTAGTCTCTCCGCAGCCGCCTCCAGCCTTGCCACGGTTTCCTCGGTCACCGGTGCAGGCGGAGCTTCGCTCGCGTCTGGAGCTTTGCTTGGTCCATCCAACATCAGCAAGTGTTTTCTTGTTCGGGTAAATTGCTGGTCATCCTAAATCGTCTTCCACCACGAGAAACCACATAGAACTTCTTCAAGCGTCATCAATCAAGTGGTTCAAATTTGTCAGTCGAGGTCGACCCCATCATCCAAATTCTGTAGAGGCGGCACTATGCCATACACTGGACTATAACAGTCACCGACGGCGTGTGCAGATTCGACCTCCGACTTTAGCAAAGACTGACCCAATACAGTAACACCAGTACACTGCTGCATGTACATACTTAAATCTCCTATTTGGTTTTTTTCTATTCTTATTTGTATTTCTTTTGAATTTTGTTTTGTGTGCATGAAACTTTTACTGTAGGATCACACACTTTGAAGACAGTAGCAGGCTAGGATCACACACTTTGAAGACATCAGCAGGCTCGCTATCCCGCGACACAGAGACTTTTATAGAGTTCATCACACCACGACCACCCTAACTCCCTACTAACTTGAAATTGTGCGCCGCCGTCAAAACCATGATGAACACAGTACTTATCTCGTACACACAGAAGCATCAATCATGCCGTAAATAGCTACTTACTAGCAGCTGCCGTCCGGTGAGAGCGTGCAATGACCACGCGGATGCGTGATGCGTATGAACCGGCGCAAGTCGCACACATAATGGCACGACCGATCGGGACAGCGCTCACTGCCACTTGATCTACCTAGTATCGCTAAGTGATGACTTTTCCATGATATGCGTATGATGTGCTACTGCTACAGCGGCTTTCGCACTCGTCGACTTTGCAGAAAATAAATGTTGTTCGTCCTGCTCCCTGACCAGCTTGTCCTACTATATCACACTGCGGGCGGTCATGAATTTATCAAAATTTGCAAAATCAGGCATTGCCTCTTTGTTGCGCACGTCGTGAAATCGCCAGAGGATGTGAATTTCGGCGCTCCCTCCGGCACCGACCGAACTTCCGCTTGCTTTGCCTCTGGCGGCTGCAGTAGTTCCCGTCACAGAGGGGACGGACACTGTGGATGCGGTGGTAGACAGATCTTCTTGGTCACCCCGCTCTCCACCATCTTCCTCATGAGGCGACAACTGTCCATGAAGGTGGTCCAAGAAAGACACATAGGGTATCAGTTGGCCTTTCATACCTGAAGACGGAGCGCGAGCAGGAGAAACGTCAGATTTTGTTTTTAGTTTTATGTAATTTGTGCGTGTTCATCTTTTTATTTGGTTAACAGACCAAAATCTCAACGTTCTTGTCTCAACGTTCATGACGCCGACGAGCAATCGTCTCAACGATTGCCCGGCGGCCTCAAACAACGCTCGCCGGCAGTGGCGGAAAGGCACGCCCGCCACCATTGACGCGAGACGCACTCGATGAGACACAAGGGGCGCAAGGGCGCGGCAACACACACGGGCAGGGGCGTGGGCGTGAAACACAACACAAGGAAAGGAGAGAGTCGTCGGCCAGGGCAGCCGCCGCCGGCCGGCGGCGGCTGCCCTGGCCGACGACCAGAACCCCAAACCCTAGACCCTAACCCCAAACCTAAACGGTGCCGAAGTTGAGGCGTCGGGGTCAACGTTGGGACGTTTTGTCTAAACGTTGAGACAAATTGGCGTAGTTGAGATTTTGGTTTGTCAACCTTTTTATTTCCAGTACAGCATTACGAAGAAGTCGCACTTCTAACTACCAACGTCGGAAGGACAAGAAGTGAAAAAGGTGCGGCTCTAAAATGAAAATCATTTTGATTTTGAGAAAATGTTAGAAGATTTTCTAAATTATACTAGTTGCACTTTCAAGTGTGCATTCTTGATTGTAGTACCTGTGACACTCTCCACAAGACTTGCATTCTGGTAGATGTTGAATGTAGGATAGTTGGCTTGGTCGTAGGTGCAGCTGAAAATGTCACCTCCCTCCACTTCGACTTCGCAGCCGTGTCCTCGCTTTTGATAATTTCGAAGGATTAATACTTGGAGTTAGAACTCGGATTGTTTGTTTTGCTGATCCGATTTCTTTTTCAGGTGAAAATGAAAGTGCAGACGGTTATGTTTCTTTATTACGTTGTCGACGTCAAAAAAGAAAATCAGGATTCAAGCATGTATGTCTCTAAACAACTTGTGGAGGCCTAGCCCTAGGCCCCCTTCCAGAACCAAGGCAATCATAAGTACCGCAGGTAGATCGTCGTCGGCTGTCTCTTCCGGCGTACCTCTCGGCGCCACTGTGTTGGTCAGACCCAGGAAGAGTCTTGCCTTCTTGGAAGGCGTGCTGTGGTTTTTCTTCTCTGCTCGTAAGATTTCAACTTCGTAGTACAGCTTGTCTTGCTCAATTCTGTATTTGCCGTAGACCGTGCCTCTGGTGCTGCCGCTGACCACGCCGTCCGCCGATAAATGCAGTTGCTTCCCCACCCGACCGATCAACTTCGCGTCCAGTTGAGCGATATGAACTGCAAAAGTATCGCACTCGTATAAATGCATTACAAATTTCCTCAGCATGAGAGAGAAAATCTGTAATGCGGATTTACCTTAACCTTAAGATAAAGATTTGTAATGCATGACTGCAATACGAGTACGATACTTTTGCACAGGATAAGCGAGCTGCGGATTGCGAGCCCGTGAGGAGCAGCTGGGGTGGCTCGAGACGGTAAGCTATCAAGTGTAAAAGTGTCTGGATCTGGAAGAAAAAGAATGTCATGCATATTTCTCATGACCCATGATGCCTGTAATACTTGACCTAGCATCGCAGACTTTTAGAGGTCTTCCCGATGCACCTTTAGCATGAGAAATGGCCCGTCCGTGTAGCAAGAACTCACTGTAGCCCTCTTGCTGGTCATGCAATACAAATTCTTTTAGAGTCCAAAAACAGCATGACAAGTTGCAATCTTCCAGACTCAGCCATTTTTGCACTTGATATAAGCTCCACAGTCGGATTCTCCTCGTCATGCTGAAGACTGCTTTTTCCGACTGACGAACTCGCTGCACCGGGCTGACCGACCACACCGCTGCCGGGCGGGGCCGCGGCGCACTTGTCCGCCGGGGAAAACACGTCGTAAAATCCGCCCCACATTGTCGCGCAGGGACAATATTGCAGCATAAGCGGAAATTTTGCAGCGCGATCTTCGGACAAGGAGGAGCTCGTGGCAGAGGCAAAACAGGTTGTTCGCCTTTGGGCGACACTTGCAATTGACTTCTACTGATGTATTTCAACATGCGTGAACTTGAAATTCAAAAAAACGTGGGTGCGAACGGGACTGCACGAATACGACAAGAATTTTGACACCGAGGGATTTCAAGTTCAACCGAAGATGAACCACCGAGCGAAAATTGTTTCACATTCACTGAGGGTGAGGAACCAAAACCATAACCATAACCAAAGAAACTAATTCCAAGTTGAACCAACGAAGAGATTTATTACCCCAACAACCAAGTCCGAAACACGAACTAATTGAGCGGTGTTCCGCGCACGGAAATGCTTCCGCGCACGGGAATGCTTCTTTTTAGTATGAGATCAACTAAATAAATTACAATCGAAGACGAGAATTCGCACAGAAATGCTTCTGCAACGCCCTGCCTGGTTTTTTCCCGATCTTTTATCGCGAAATTGCGCGCAGAGCGCGTTTTCTATTTTTATTGCCAGCCCTGGGCCTTTTTTTGTACTTGCGTAGTGTGAGCAGAGTGCGCTATTTTTTGCGCTAAGTGCGTTTTTGTGTTTTTGGAATCGGCCCTAGAAGTATTTTTTTTGTGTTTTTTCTTTTGCTTATTTGATTTTTTTGACAGAGGAGACGTTCTCCGTTATTTCTTTCGCAGAGTAGAAGGGACAGCAAATCGATTTTCTACAAGCAAAACGAAAACAAGGAAAAAAAGTGCTTGCAGTGCAAAAAAAAACCAATAGAATACTTTTACGAACAAAAGCAGAACTCAACGTCAACCAGATTCATATGAGAAAAATAACTACAACGGGATTCACAGATAAGCGATTACGCAGAATGCATGCTGTCGCGAGCAATTGGACGCAGCAGCCCATTGGGAGTAGAAACAAACAGCTTTGCCAATTTCGCGATGTAGTTCGCACCGTCATGCGAAAGTAACGCTTTCATGCTGAAAATAGGATTTTTAAAGGTTTCTTGATGAACAATTGCAAAGCCAAACACTCCCGCCACATGGCTTTCTTCTGGTGGTGCGGGTTCCGGTGGCCCCGGCAAATACAGCACCAGTTGCCCAGACGGGAGTGCTCCACCAGATTTCGCGTCGGTGGGTTGCTTCAGTTCTTCAGACTGGGCTGTGTCGACTGCTGTCCAGAGATCGCTGGCAGCCGAATTTTCGCTGTTCCAGTTTTCGGACTCCGTGTCGGCTGTGCTTAGAACAGCGAAAGCCGCATCCGCCATATTCTTTAGCCGCTCTGGGTAGTTCACACGCGGCACGACGTCGTAGCCGGCTATGATCTATGCATTGCAAACCAAGTTATGCCTGGGTCTGGAACGATACGGATACGAGCTTTGCTCGTGATGTAATGCTAGCTCTCTAGTGGAACGCCATTACACAGACATCCGCGTTACATGAGTGCCACAAGTTGTCCATTTCTTGCGACGCAACGAGCGAAGTCTCTCATGTTGCAGAATAAGTACCTAGACATGGAAACGGTTTTGTACTCCGCCACACCCAAACATTGACACATTTCCAGTGAATATGGTAGTGAGAAACGATTTGAACGGGAAAAGTAAGTCAGAGGCCTTGATCGTGCCTTTTCTCGCCTGCTCCTTCAAATGGTGCACCTGGGCGTGCGTGCTGATCATGCCCGGGTTCGCGTGGGCGTAGCACTTGACTTCAATAGGGTGATGGTCGCGGTTCGCTTTCTTGGCGTGTTTCTTTCGCGCGTGGTCGATGTCATGGAACGCTTTCGTTCCGCGCCACATGGCGTAAACAAACTGAGCAGTAGCGGCACCAAGAGAGTGGCCTGTGATGATCACACGTTTGTACTTTTCATGTTCATCGTGTTTCAGCATGTTGTGCACGAGCTTGAACGTCTTGAAGCTGACGTAGTGCGCTGCTTTGAAGAAGCCCGCGTGTACTCGGACCATTTCATTCACGGAGTGGGTTTGCTTGTCTCGTTTGTGCTTCTGTCGTGTACAAATGTGATTTGCGTCATGCGAGTGACGGTGTTGCGGGTCCGGGTGTTTGTGCACGGCCGGATGATGCGGGTTGTGCTCCACGGCCTGTTTTTCGTGGTCGACAGAATGGTGATGCAACTTCTCATTGCCGACGCCGAAGTCCGCCAACGGCACCCAGCAGTCTCCATAGTGCAGATCCGTTCGGATGTCGGCCGGGCCGGCAGTCCCTTGAATCACCACGACAATAGCCTGCAACAAGTCGTCCCGCAGGATCATGTACGCAGGCTCGTTGAGCTTCGCGTCGATATAGTACGCAAACTGGTCCACATTGCTAAAGTCGTCTACATATTCCTTTCTTCCCGAGTGGTCTTTCATCTCCCGATCCTCATCTGTCACCCCCGGCGCTGCGCTTTCTATAAGAAAAGCGCCAGGCTTCTTGATTGCGTCAATCGGGTTCGCTTCGTACACAGCTTTAGCAAACACCATTGTACGATAAAGCTCTGCTTTCCGCCATCGGTCAAGACCAGGAGCAGAGTGATCTTCCCGATCACGATCAGCGAGGCTGTTGAGCCATGCGTGGTTTTCGAACACCAAGTTTTTGTTGTAGTCGGTGTCTCCAGCTTCGCTTTTCCCTTTCAGTTCGCGATAGGAATCTTTGTCCGTCACAACATGCAGCTGCTGGATGGAGTTGAGCACGCCAAGGTCCTCCCAGAACCACTTCTGCAAGTGCGTCCAAAGCGAAAACTTCCTGTGGTGATCGGCGATCTGTGTTCCGATGAAGTCTGCTAGAGGACGTACTAGGGCACCTGGTTCTGCCTCCACCACGTGCACAGCAAACCACGCGAGGCTGGGATGTCTCTGCTTGTGCTCTTCCCACTTCTTGGAAATCTCCTGGAGCTTTCGCTGCGACAGGTCAAACAAAATTTGCACGCCGTGCATCATCTTCTCGCGTATTGCCTCTTGGAGTCTCCACACTGCCTCGATGGCCAGCTTACCTCCTCGCAGGGTTCCTCTCGCAACCAGGTCACCAATCCGTTCGCCCCACACGGTAGGTAGTCCCATGTACATGGAGCCAACCCCTCCGATCGCTTTTGCTGTGTGGCGAACGGTATCCGCCAATCTTGTTGAAATTGATGTGGATGCGCCTGCTTTTGTAACTAGAAACGAGTTGACCACTCCTGATCCTGTGGACTCCGTGTCATTCGTTCCGACTTCTGAGTAATCCGCTCCAATCCCGTGTCCGCTCCGCTGCAACCCCTTCTCCCCGGCAGCGCGGTAAAAATCTCCTTGCTCCGTCTGGTCATCCGCCGCAATTTTAGTGGTGGAGGGTGCTTCTTCTAACTCTCCAATCGCGCTGGAATCGCCGGATATTGATTTCTCCACAAAACCCGACTCGCCCGCCCGTTCTTCCTCATCCGTAAACTCCGCGGCGGTATCTACAACGACCGTGCGCACTTGCTGTGAGTCGTCGTAGCGGGAATGCGGTGAGCGGTCGATGAAGGCGTCTGTGACGTTCTCCGGTAAGAGGGTTGGCGCTAGCTCGCCTGCGCCGCGCCACGGAAGCAAGCCGTACCGCAAGCACAACGTAAAAGTAAAAAAACCTCGTGGAGGCGTCATCTTGCTCTCACGTATAGCGCTGGATGGTGCGCGTGACAGACTGTGCGACAGGGCTTCAACAAGTCGAAGAACTAGGAATCAAATAAAGTCCAGGTTTCCAAAAAGTCAACCCTTGAACCTCATTGACTTCTGATGTAGCAGAAGTAGTAGTACTAGTAGTAGTACTAGTAGTAGTGCTAGTAGTAGTAGCGATTCCCAGCAAGCGGAGAGAAGGGGGGCCAACTCTCACCTCACTAACTCTTCACCACTTTTTTCATTGCTCGTTTAGGCTTGGCTTGGTTCTTGGCACTCCTCATCTTCTCCTTGGGACATAAAATTGAAATTGAAATAAAAAAACGTGGATGCGCACGTCGGGACTACGTACACGAACGCGACTATTTTGACATCCAGGGGACTTCAACCGAAGGTGAACCATCGGGCGAAAATTTCACGGAGGAGCCAAAAACTAATTTCAATTGGAAGTACCAACAAGGAGATTTATTTACCCCAAGAACGAAATCTGAAACACGAACTAGTTGAACACGTGTTTTTCTTGTTTTTTCATCTTTCATACTATTTTCGCGGAGCACAGAAATTGTACTCCTGTTTTTACAACGCCCTTCCTGGTTCGTTTTTTTCTGATTTTTTATCAAGACATTGTGCTTGCGTTTGAAAAGACATATGACATCTTCGGGGAGACCGGTTTATTAGCGCTGGAAAACTGCGTAAGTACGAAAAAGCCGCGTTAGCACACAAGGAAAGCCGCTTGCTAATGTCGGGTTTCAGAAACCGCTGAAGGAGCAGGGCAAATCAAGAGAATGGGTTCTTGGTGCCATTAATCTGTTCCTAAATTGTTTTGGTAAACCATGGAAAGACTGGAGCAGAAGCACCTCGTTGACTAAGTACTAGTTCTAGATGACTAAATCGACCGAGGATACTGCACGCGGCGCTTTCTTTCCATCCGACGTTTGGCTCATCATGGCCACTGCGTCAAATTGCGGGTCGGGATCTACTCTACTCCGGCTCGAGGACCGGAACGGGCGCTGGTGAAGATTATTATACGGATGCTGGCTACCCATTGTACCCCCTGGAACAACGACACCGCCGCTTTTGATCGTGCCCCCGCTGCGCATAGCGGAAACCTCTTCCCGCAACGAGTTCAGGGCCTGTACTTCCTCACGCAACGCGGCGAGCTCGTTCAGAATCTTGTCCTGCCGTTCGCTCATGGACGCCCGATCCTCGCGCGCCGCCAGCATTTGCTCGTTCTGTTTGACTGCCGCCCGCGACGAGGCCTTGAGGCCGTCGTCGAAATTTTTCTTCGCGATCTCCTGGAAGCGGCTCTGCTGCGCCTGCAACATCGTCGCCTTCAGGATGCGGCCCTTCTCCTCCGGGACATTGGCGGAACGAATCAGGGCCACGGACGCCGTGGAGTTCATCACGGAGGTGGTCAACTCCATGTACGTGGTGGACAGCTCAAAGGGGTCGAGCTCGCCGCTGCTGTCCAGGTCCATCGCGTCGAAGAAGTAGCCCGCGTCCTCGTCCGTGAGGTCCAGCTTTTCGAACACCTTGCGAAACGCCAGCGACTTCTTGTAGTTCTCGATGAAGAAGGTCCGCGTCGTGTTGACCACCTCCTGTCCGGGGAACTGGAGCAGGTCCTGGATTTCCCCCATTTTCTCGTCAATGTCCAGGTTGCGCCGCACCTCCCGCTGCTGGCGGCTGGCCGTTTCCAGCACGGTCACGGTGACCAGATTCATCAGCCCCAGGGCGGAGATGGAGATGAAGAGCAGAAAGTAGAAGTAGGGCCAAATGTGGTCGTTGGACAGGGGGACGACCATGTCCGTCCAGCCGTCCAGCGTCATCATTTGGAACAAATACACGATGCTGTCCCGCGTCGTCCCGAACAGGGACTTCGCGTTGTCGAACGCCTCCTCGTGTTCCGGGTTGTTGTCGTCCGCTTCGTAGGTCATGCTATCGTTCTGCCCGATGATGACGACGGAAAAGATCCCGAACAGGAAGATGATGATCATGATGAACAGAACCGTCCACATCAACGGGGTCAGGGAGAAGAAGAACAACTGCACCACGTGCCACAAGTGCTCGAAGATGGTCAGCAACCGCAGCACGCGGAAGGCCCGAAACACGCGGAGGATCTTCACCGCACTCTGCACACCGCCCTTCTGGTCCGTTCCAGCCACCGTGATGGTCCCCGTGGTCGCCAGGGGAAAGAACACATCGAACAGCCACCCGGTCAACACCACGGCCACGTCCAGGGAGTACTGGAAGTTGAACAGAATTCGGCGCGCCCCGAACGCCATGCAGCGCAGGACCAGCTCCACCGTGAAGAAGAGCAAGAACAGACTGTCGCCGATGGCGATATGGATGTGTCAGGTTTGAAATCGTCAAAGTTGAAATAGTTTGTCATGCATAAAACGGATACCAGTTAGACCTGCAGTTTGTAGTCGGTGCATGACAAATTTTCCCGGTCCTGGAAGCGAGTCTGTCATGCGGTTTAGGGCAAAAGAGCTGCCTTCTGTCATGCTAGTCAGCAGTCCAACTTTTGACCCTTACCAGGATTATGATCTGCCTCCCTTGCGTCCTCTGCAATAGAGTCGCTTTTTGTATCGCATTTTATGCATTACAATTTCGTTGCGTTCCTTCCATCTGTCATCCTATGCGCCAAACCAACCCGAGTAACCCGTTGGACGGCGCCATTGGGGCTGGGTCGAGCGGGTCGAACCCTCGCTCCCGCAGCAGGGAACGACCCACTCCACCACCAACACGTCTGTCCGGACGGACCGGCACGACGTGA